CTGGCTATCAACTTGGATAGCCTAGTATCGCATATACTTCCGTAGGAATGTCCTATGGGCTAGGGAACTTTTATTCGAATCAGTCGTATTTTCAGCTAGGCAATATCCCGGAGTTCTCCAATTTACACTCGGTAATCAAGTCAGCCGGAAGTTCTACTTAGATCAAGGGAGGCGGCCACCACACCTCTGTCCTTCGATCTGTTTTGACATTGGTAGATAAATGTCATCAAGAAAAAAATCGTCGAGGTGGGGCCAGAATTCCGACACTTAATGAGCGAGACCACGCTGTACACATTACGCCACGGGTTCCGCTGCTTGAAGCCATCTACTCGAGAGTTCCTCGGCAGTCAGGATTTTCCTGGGATGCAACATAATATTAAAGAACGACCTCGACTGCAGTTTATAGGTCCCTGTGCCAAGGCCAGGTGGACAAAAGTTAAAGGATCGGGATCCGTGCCACCACGGTCTTACGTCCCACAAACGCCTGCTTATATGACGTTTTTTCCCGGAAGCATTGTGGCTGAGGCTTTCAATCCCTTGCGGCGTCAACTGGCACAAAGAGAACCCAATCCTTACCCACTCTTTCATACAATGTGGGTTTGACCTCACCGGTCCGTTCTCTGCCGCATTGTATCAATTTCCCTGCCGTTGTCCAGTCATCAAAGCTGGCTTATTCCCAGGGGTTATTGGCGAAAGGGACGGGCGTGTGTAACTTAAATGACTCACTGGTGAGAGTGATTAATTAGGCAGAGTCCACTTGAGCTCATTTCCCGAAGAAAACCGGACAGGTTGCAGTTACGTCCAGCGGATTAGGCGTCCGTTAACGCGAGCGCGCACGGACGCACGCGCAGCAGTCCTTCAGCAGTGGCATTGGGAGACCCAGGGGGATTACGCGTTCACACACCCACACCCCGTTCCCCTCCCCCATCGCGGACACTGTCGCCTCAGCTGACCAGTCAACGAATCAAAAAGCCAGCAGACTTATCAGCCAATCAGACTCAAAACGGCCGATTATGTATCTTGCGCTTCATCAGAAAGTGACGGTGAGTAGACATCGATTTGCTGCGCTTTTTGCAGCCAGACAACTGCAGTCGCAACAAATGCTGCTGGGACAGACAGGCTGTTTGGGAAATTGACAGGTAGACTGTAGTGGCTTTGTTTCTGGCTTGGGTGGGAATGTAACTACACCGAATGTCCCATTGACACTGCCACTTAAGAAAGGCTTTAGACACCTCCTACGAGCGCTCTATCGGTCGGTAAGCTTTGCCAAAAGTGGGTAGGGCCTTATTCCTTTTGCCAATAAAAGGAACACTGACTAGAGTTGACTAGTAATAGGCGTGGTCAATTTACAGACAGATAACTCTTGTGATAAGGAGGTGAAGTTGAATGTTCCGAGAAACGTTGATGCCCCTGGAAGCCCGGCTGCCTCAGATACCATCCAATTCCGTCAGTATTACCATTAGCATTCATAGGATGTTCGATTTTTTTCTTACTTTCACTTTAGAATGGGCCGACTGAGCGCCATAGATGTGCGTGGGACACGTTAGTGCCAAAACTCGTCCCCCTTCGGCTTGGTAGGAGAACAACGAGAATGGGAGGGGCTCTAGTGTGAATTTCCTCTTACCGTTCAAGTCCTCAGTCTCCTTACTACAATAACAGTGGTGCATCTTTAAATTATCACAACACCCCACTTGGTAAGTATAGAAGGTACTTTTTGGTATGCCATGGATGCTTGGAGGCCTTCACCTGATCCTTACCCCAAACGAAAAGGTTAACATAGTCGCCTTCTGAAGTGAGGTCAGATTGCGATGCTTTCATCGCATTATGGCCTTCATGCTAACTCTGTTCGACGAGAGGCCAGTGAGTTGGTTTTCGAGGCGTGATCCTTGCGCGTGTAGGGACCGGCACCTGCGTGGCAGACCTGTGGCTATGGCCTGGCCAGTTACTGCGCCTATGCCCATCTCCAGTCGTATTGACCGGAACAGTGGTGGGTGTGGGAAAACAGAGTGAGGCAAGTGATGCGATAGTCCCTCTCCTCATAAGTCCATTCAAGCCTATGCTGATGCTTCTTATTAAACTAATGATGCGCCCTATGAATTATTCGCATTGTTAAATAAACTTCTACAGGCTACTGGTAGTCCTAATTTTGACTCAGCCAGATTTCTGGCGTTTTAAATCGTGCTTGCATTGCGATGTCTACCCAGCTCCAATCTGACCGCTATTGACTGGCTCACAAACGTATGCAGAGCTGTCATCAAGGCGCCTTCTTAGCTTATCAAAACAGTCATAACCAACGACTTGGCCGCGCTTTTAGTGTGCAACCAGATGCCATTATTGCAGCCCCACCGAGAATTGCTGGGGTATTTGCATAATTAGGTGGATTGGCGCCGGACAGTACACACATAATGTCAGTAAGGTGGTCTTTGTGATTTCGACATGTGGCCAACCCGACCGAATTTGGTTTTTTCCTTTCCGAACTTCCATCGTAGTTTCTCGCTATTCAAAAATCATACAGTTACACTTTGCCTTTCTTCCATATCCATTTTGTAAATTATTTCAGAAGAGCCTTGAACGTTTCGCAAGATGCCACCCAGTGTTTTAAGGAAGTTTTGCACCCGAAAGTGCTTTTCATGTTCCCTCCAAAGTCCCTTAGAAAATTCCACGGAGGTGCAGTAGGTGGCCTACTTCACGAAATATGCCCGAATCCTGCAAACATTGACCACCGTCTTCGAATTTAGCTATCGCATTAAGAATAGACGACCAATCCTAAGCAAGGAATAGGCATCTGAATGTATTCACTACTTCGATACCAGCGTGTGCGGCAAAGCGCTGGTTTTACGACGGTCACGTCATAAGAAACGTAGTTTGATAAATCACTGCCCTTGGAGAAAGGGACTGATCATGGCCCCTGTAAGTCTTGACACGCGGAAACTCCAGGCTGGTCATTCTGACGTCTGGGAAGCAGTTTCGCAGGCCACTCAAAATATCATGAACTAGGAGCTGAGCAAGGCGAAGAAACTGCCTTGATACTACTTTATGGTGTGAACCCAGCACTGAAGTTTGTCTCTCGCCGCTGGCCTCCGATGATGACGCATCTCGCGCGATGGTAGCCGCGAGTCATTCAATAATTTATCCCCCTGTCATTGTTTCAAGTGTCAATCATCCTTCATTGCCCATCCAGACACTCACCGGTGAACATTCATGTTGCGTACGTCTCTCAGCCATGTTGTGGACTCAGTAGAGTTTGCTTGGGTAGTTCTGCCTTCCTGGACTTGGGACTTGCGAAGCGCGACACTGCCTGTTCGGGAGTAGATTATTTCGTCACCTTAACAGGCCAAACGAAGACCGTAAGGTCTGCAGACTAGCCATAGGGAATTCCTCTCGAATAACATCAGGCAATAAGAAATATTGACGGAGCGTTTGGAAAAAGGGACGAATCATTTTGAGTTTTCAGACATTTTAAATGATATACCGGATGTTATTGAAACTTGCTTGGGGAAACGAACAAGGCTAAATTAAGGCACTCCGAAACTGCAGTCATTTAATCAAAATATTCACCAAAAATATTTGGTATCGAGCAATTGAGCAATGCAGCCTGCAAAGGCGTAACTGCCTATCGTAGACGTTGTTCTGTATCGATCAAGCATAAGTACACTTTAACCGGAAAGTACGGATCATTTGGTACCTCGTGAAGAGGGAGACACGATCACTGGAACAGGGGCTTTATTTGACTGACGTTTTGGATTTTTGCTGGAATCCGTCATCAGAGATAACAACAGATACTACAGAAACAACAACAACAACAACAGCGACAAAAACTACGACAACGAAAACTCTGTCTGTTTCTACCTCTGACGCTGGGTTTGAACAGAAACTCGAAACGTCGGGCGAATAAGGTTTTTGTTCTAGCGATCGTGTCTCCTTCACGACTGCTTCCTGGTACTCGCCTCTTCGCTTGGTATTGACAAAGCTGATGTCTCATTTGGGTTTTAGCTATCTACAAACCGCCTGCAAACCGGAAACGCGCGTGTCCCTACGCTCGTAGTCATGGCAGCCAAGTGGCGCACGGCCTGACTGCCGCTGTGGTCGTTCCCCCCCCCCCCCCACTGCCATCTGGTCCTTACACGTGTCCCTAAAATTGGGTAAGGAGACAGCCTGCTGTTCTCACCTTACGCAGCCTCTACGCGCTGCAGGTCGACGTAAAGGACACCTGATATGCAGCCGAGGGCGGGTTCCCTTGAGGATCTGCAGTGCCTTAGGCTATCTGAGGCCACTAATTTTCCGAAAGCATGCATTACAGAGCCGCAAAAAACGTTTTAGAGTTGCGAAAATTCCCATAGCAGTAATCAGAACACGAGGTGGCGAGCATACGTAGCTTTCGACAAATTCTTGTGGGGCCAGTACAATTATATGGGAAGAGGGTAGAAGTAAAAACACGTTAGTGATATGATAAACTGATTAAAGTTCGCCCTAAAACACAGGTTGAATGTGGGAATGTGGGAGAGGGGGGGGGAGGGTAATAGCAGTCAGTGTCAGGAGCGGGGTGAGAGCGGAAGGGCGCGGGAGAGCTGTAACGTTAGTCGACATTCCACCACTGTAGGCGCGATTCGTGAACGTGGTTCTTCTGTGCGTACAAGATTGGTTTTCGCAACCTGATGGAGGCTGCCTCTGCTGTTGCTAACAGGCGCTGTCCCAGTAATTTAGGATAGCTCGATGGGACCTTATAGATCGCACGAAACGCTTCATTGCGGTCTACATGATGTCCGGAATCGACAACATGTGCGAGAATGGTGCTGCTTTTGCTCCTAGTTTCGTTTTTTCCCAGCCATGCCGGAAGGTGTTCCCTTATTCTCTAGGATAAGCGCCGACTCTTGCGACCAATATAACCTGCTCCACAGGAGCAAGTGAAGGAATAGATGCGCATTGAAGCGATCTGGGGTGGCAACTTATCTTTACCTTCTCCGCGAAAAATAGGGTTAGTAGGGAAGAATACTTGAACCCTTGCCGCTGGGAAGGTTCGCGAAACAGCTTGATCAAGGCGTCTCCTTAGGAGTTCACTCGCAGCGTCCTCTTGAAAAGGGACTTTAAGGAACAGAGTTTTCTTTTCGGTCGTCAGTGTGGCGACTTTTACCGGTCGTTCGGCCATATTCTTTGCAATAAACCTGTCCGGGTACCCGTTTTCATGAAGGAAGTCCTCCTCGATGCTATCCGTTGAGCAACTTTTTCTAGCTCTTTTTGCCAAAAATCCGACTAGACTTCGTTTTTGTTGTAAATGTATGAAACTAGTGAAGTTTTTGTATTGTCCAGACCAGGTTTTCTTCCGGTGGACGCTTATTCGGACATTCCCGTCAGGTCTCCTGCTTAGAAGAACATCAAAGAAAGGGGGCGAACCGGCCCTTTCGATCTCCAACGTGAATTTGATAGAGGGATGTGCCTGGTTTACAATGTCTAAGAGGGCATCTACCTCGGTTTCTGCTTTGGCAATCGCAAAGCTATCATCAATATAGCGGCCGTAATGTTCAAGTTTTTCGACCTGATCGCTTACTTGCCCATGAAGACATCGTCTAGGAGAGGTCCAAGAGGTGAGCCTATAGCAACGCCGTCTACTTGTCTATAGAGTTGATTGTCAAACAGGAACTGCACATTTAATGTGCATCTTAGTAAGAGTTATTTGAGTGTCTTCGTCGGAATTCCTATTTCCTGCTGATTGTCTGATAGAACTTCACAGTTTCCTTAGTTAAAGATTCGGAAGCAATCATCAGGATCAGTGACTCGTCGACCAACTCGAAACTCCTGCCGACTTTCTCACACACCCTAATTCCGGCTAAAAGTTAACAAATTTTGCCGGGCACTAAACTTTTAAAAATTGCCAGAGTATGTCGATGACCGTTCTCTGAAAGGGGCTGGAAATACTTTTGTCACTGGGACCATATTTCGAGCAGCTAGAATTTTTACAGTTAGTAACACTCAAGTTCCTCTATTTGTGGGACCATTATCGGCTGATAACTTCCGATTACGCCTTTTGCGTAAAACGTTCTGTTTAACTAAACCGACCATTTTATCTTGCAGAATAACCCTTCTCAATTGAAGGTAAACTGTTTCATACCCGGCATTTACTTCGTGCCTGTCTGTCCCTCGAAACTAAATGCCTTTTCACAACCGTTTTGGCCGATCTGGCTAATTTAACTGACTTCCCGGTTGCGAGAAACTCAAGGCTCTCGATCGAGGCCATGCAGTTCAGGTGGTTAGAGAGCTGATTATACAAAGACCTTGTAGTTTCTGCTGTGGGTTCGAACCCAGCTTAGGTCGCCGGTTTCGTTCCATTTAAATAGTAATTGTAACAACTTTTCATTTATTTTGTTTTCAAAAGCATCTGAAGTCACCCCTGCATCCAACATGCTGCAACCTCGTTTTAGGAAGTTTTGGTAGATTTTCTGCTAATATCTTCATGGTAGTCTCTTCAAATGTGGGCCTTCGCAATATAAATAAGACTGCCTTTGCATTAATTCACTTGTGAAAAACTCAACCGCGTCGGTGGAATTAGAACCCCCGACCGCAAGTGCAAGACTTGAGTTCAATTAACGCTCTAGCCAACTGGGCTACGAAGCTCCAACGACCGAAGTGAATTTAATAACATTAAGCTCAAGTTACCTGCCCAGACTACTGCATTAGTGTTACAGGATCATTTATAGTTCGTCATTCAGCTGTGATCGTATTATAGACCATTAAAACCGCTTATTTGGCAAGTATACTTAATCCTACGCTTTAAATTTCCTATCACGCATTTTTAGGAGGAGTTTTATTTGTATATTTTGTTATTCCCTGTATATTATGGTGCATCCTTAAGGAAATTGATGCAACTACAAATAAATTGAATTTTGTATGATAATGACAGATATAGGCAGTTATTGTTGATCTGCACAAGTAAGCAACAAAACGATATTGAACTCGATAACCCCCATTTCAGATAATACAGCAGGTCCTTAGACCGACCGACCACTAGAAATTTGTTTGGCTTTATGCATTACAACGGCTAACTACGGCCGTTTTTGAGACAACATGTAATCCTCCTAGGTGTCGCTTTCTTCAGTGTGGCACAACCGGGGTGTGTGCTGACTAAGAATTCTCCACTTGCGACTGGCATTTTCTCCGCAGACTAAAATGCGTCCGAAGTTGCTGGAATACGCTGGCGCGTAAGTGTGCTGCAAAGGAGGCTTTGTGGTGCCCATGTCCGACGTGGGAGATTGGTAAACCCGTGACATTATCCCTTCAACACCTTGGCGCACGCCTGTTTGCCAGCACATACCATATTGCCCGCACTGTGATGATTCATAAACGCGTGTCTGTGTGCGAGATGGTTTGCCACTCGGTGGCCACCGTTTGGCGAATGCACGCATGCCTGATGGCCTGTCAACAAAAGAAACCGTCGAAGTGTAAGGAAGATACCTTCGCCTACGGCGGAGGCCGGAGCGGTAAGGGTTTACGGTCTGCAGTAGGATACGGATTCAGTATGATGTTCGGGGCCTTTTATAATAACTGGTAACTGTCCTTATGCAGCAGAAACCCAGAAAACTCACAATTCACAGGCTTACAGACAACTTCCCAGAAACTAAACGGATATTAGCAAAAGTGTAACAATACAGCGTATTCATTAAAAAGTGGTGAACGTTAAATAGGAAAGTTACTGTGGACTCCGCAACAGTCCCCAGGCGCCGTCATTCCAAGTGGTTGGACGGACATTTAGGTGGATCAGGAAGGGATATGTTCAATTCCGTGTCTAGAACAGTTTCAAACTACAAGTTTAACCAAATGAGAAGCAGAATACAGACCAGACGAACAACCACAATAGGTGGGCAATCCCCCGAGCGAAGTCAACAGAAGGTAGACGGTGGGAAGGAAGAGGGCCTGATCACGGATTAACCGAACGAATTTTCTCACCTATTTGGTAACGGACTTGCTGTAGCTCCGAAAGCAATTAATGCGCCCGCTATACTATGATTCTCTTACCCCCGGAGTGAGAAGAGTCGGCAAATGCCAGAACTGGCTGCACGGTCAGTGGGTTGACATAAACCAAAAGTTTAAGAATGGAAAGCTCTGGAGTGTATGCAAACAGAGCGGGGATAGTTTTGATTTCGGGCAGTTTTCATCTATCCTCTGCAAGCACCCCACCATCACTTTACACTATCAACAATCCCGTCCCATTTACACTTACATTCTTGTTTTATCCACCTATCAATGCTAGTCCTCAAGAACCTCCAACTCCTTAATCGGTGGTCTTAGCCCACGAAGGTAACACTCCACGCCTTTACCATATCTATTCCTTGGACGAATGAAGAGTATCAAGCCACTAAAACAGGAGCTTTGCAAGAAGGCGCCTACTCGCTATGCAGATTGTGCGTTTAATGGGTAGCATTCGGCCATTATATAGAGCTGTTTTTGTAGGTCGAAGGAGATCTGTGACACCTGAAGTCAGTCATTGACAGTTGCTCGACCGTGCACAGTTCGAAAAAATTGAGTTTTACTAGCTCCCAAAAGAGCAGGTTGTTCTCTGAGGCTTTTTTAACCCAACAATCCTTAGATCCGGATATAATCTAAGTGTATACATGAGCGTACAGAGCGAAATATGATCTAAATTACAAAAGCTTCGATGTACCCGTATTCTGCGGCAAGTGTCGGCGAGTGCTCACAGAAAGGCGCGAAGTAATTCACTTTCAGCGCCGGTTGCTGTGGCTCGGTGAGGTAGATAAAAGGCGCGGCTTTCTGTCCAATGAGAAGCAAGCGCAAACGCCCACGCAAACTTTTGCAGTCGCAGACGTCCACGCCTTACGTCCGCATTGCGATCGTCACCCGATTTAATTGGTTGTCCCGACCAAGTTGGTGACGGTGATCGTTTCTCAGACTAACCTCCCCTCCGCCGTCCTGCACACGTTTTCCCTCAGCCTTGAAACTGATCCCATCAAGCGCCAACATTCTCACTGAAGTATGTCACAAAGTTCCCACTTGATTTGCCCTTTTCCCGAATCTTCACTCACAAAACGGATTCGTTCTTTGTGGACGGAGGGGATCGGCCAGACTGGAATTGTCGTGTATGTATTCAGCGCAACAGCAGCAGATGAAGAAAGGACAAAATGCGGTTGCAAAAACTTCAAGAAAAGAAAAGACAGGCACAACATTACTCAGGGATTTATCCGGAAATCGGGGTCGAATGCAACGGGGCCTGGGTTTAAAGGATTCCACCAGTCAGCCGTTTATCGCCCATCGAAACAACCGTAGGCAGGGTCTTTCCCGCCGCCGGAGTACAAGGAAGAAAGACGACGACTAATGTTAACAGACTGTCCAATACAGCCTAAGTTCGCCTTTCTGTAGGACCATGGAAAGATAGGCTTGTGAAAATGATATTACACTTAACGGTGGTGGTTTGTAAGCAATAAGATAACTGGGAATCAATGTGGACGATGCGAATTCTCCCCTACCATGAGCGTTACACAAAGCCATGTCATCAGCGCAATTCGATTTATTAGACGCGCTTAGTCGCAGCCGGTGCCCTTCTGCTCTGCCGCCGACTGTGGGGAGGCCTGGATTTCTTTAGGAGTGCACACGGAGCTCCCCTGCAGTCTACTGAGCCAGCCGGGCATCGCTTCCGTCCGTTGTAGCGTAATTGATGTTCGTCCGACCGCGAATGACGTCATCCGCGACTCAGACGGCGTTGTCTCATTCACGCTTCGGCAGCTGTAGTTGACGGACCCGACGACGACATGCATTTATTGTCTTGACCAGGAAATGGGGGCGGAGACGGTCACACAGACCACAACCATAGCAACGGCAGGCAATAAATACACCTTCTCAGGTGAAAAGACTTTTACGTTTCTGCTAGGTTACCTGGGAATAAGACGATCACTACAACCAGTACTAGGTGTCCTCATTATTTCTACTACGACACAGGCTGCTCGCGGACGACGGATGAGACATGCAAGATCTGTAGCTAAAAATGAAAAAGGAACGCAGAAGATCAATATTTACAACGAAATATCCCATTAGTTCTGCACCATGAACATATTTCCACAATAAATGGGCTCAGACAAATAAGAAAGCATCGAATGCGGCTGGTAAAAAAATCGTTGACATAATTGTTTTTTAGACAGGTCTTCATCGGCGTAATAAATGCGATGCACACTTGGACTATCGTGAAGCCTTAGCATTCAAGGCTTGAAATGTTGCCGGAGGGACGGATAACTCAGTCCATCAGACGGCGTGCAAGGTTGCAGCGACTTATTCCAATTACGACTCCATGTGATATTCGAGTTGTTGAAGTTCGACAAGTGACTATGGGAGTCGCCGGGTTTTTCGCATACAGCGGGGACCTTCTGCCAGTAAGCAGTTACACCCGACCTCCCATCCAGTCATCTTGAACACTTTTTGACATCTAGCATCATTGGTGTGGGAAGAGGGACTGATGTTAATGCTGCGAAAGTCCTCCTCACCAGAGTTCACTTAAATTCCAAGTCGCCACTGCTCCGTAGGGTTAGGAAGGTCCACACCGAGTGCGACAGGCGGATTATAGCATGTCATTGTAAATGAGCTGTAGAGGGAAGTAAGATTTGCCATCAGGAAATGAAGTTAACGTCAACTGCTAAGCCGCATGAGACTGACCACTCACTTCTGCCATCCCCTGTTTCCCGGATCATATCGATATCGTCATGAGGTATTACTGAGCTGAAGGCCACCCATTGGGCGGTTACGATTACCAACCATTGCAAAAGGATATCTCTCAAAAGTCAAAACATGCACGAAGTCCGGTCGGACTAAGAGGAAGGGGAACTGGCCACGCCGTGGCCTGCGCAGACAGCGTTGTCCGGTCAGCTATTGTGCCCTACCTCGTCACTGGTCGTCTTGAGCTTTGTACAAGGATTAAGTCACAGAGAGTGTGGCCGATGTTCTGAAAATCTTCCTCATTATACTTAAGCTTGTCCATTAGTCATCCTCCACCACCATCTTTGTCAATTTCAGTCGAAACTTGCATGTCCCGTGTTGACCGCTCATTGGCCTTCTCACTAACTGTCTTTCGTCAGTCTGCCTTTCCACTAAAAGCGTCACTTAGTTGTAATTTCGCCGCACAAAAAATTAATCTCACATGATCCTGACTGCAATGACAGGGATATGACATCTCGCAGACATCCCACATTGAGCGAGAGCAGTGACAACGTAAACTCTAAACTCTGAGGGTAGAGTCATTCAGCCAGTTGGCCTTCTTCCAGATCGCCGCTTGCGACACCTCATGATGATTCAAAAGCGCATCGAATATGAAGAAAATACGCTCTTTTCCACCATGTGCCAGTCGCCAATCCGAGTCAAGCCCACTGGAGATGACGGAGCCACACGAGATGACTGGAGATAATTGGAGTGCCACAGCATTTATTGGACGCTAATCTAGGTAGCCCAACACATACTTCCCCTATGCCATAGCCGATAATTTTGAATTTTCTTGGCAGGTCGTGGAGTGTGCTATTCTCACTGCTGACCGCAGACCCCTTCACCATATAAAGCTTTACATTTTGGCAATTCCAAGGAACAGTGCATGTTCACATAGACATGATGTTAACTCCAGTTTTAGCATCCTAGACCTGATGGGGAACTAGTCACGGTTTCCGCCTTATCATACTTGGATTCCATAAGTGGTTATTGCTCCTGAGACAGACCACGCGGTAGATGCGATGGACCAGCAGAGGAGCTAGATAGGATTTCGGTGAGCGTTATCGGGAATTCGCACGCCATAACAAATGTCAACATTTGGGGTGTGGCGGTTGGTCCAGCTGCCGGCTCACGAAGCACCAGTTGGGACACCTGTTTGTGTTCTAGTGTAAGGGTCGCGTCATCCAAAATAATCAAGAAATCAACCATCGGACATGGGTCTCCCTTGACATAAATCCCCTATTGATGTCGCCGAATGAGGTTATGTGGAAACCTTTCGATACTCACTGCAATCAGCGTATCAGACAAAAGGAGTAGGCTTGGTGTTACTTGTCCTGAGGAATTTATTTTCGGAAGTAATGACGGTATATTCGTTCATTTCGATGGTTTTGCAGAAAATAAACGACAATGTGACCTTGAGAGCAATTATTTATACCCAATAAATTGTTCCTAAAACAAGCCACGCGGTAGATGTGCTAGACTAACGCAGGGGCTAGATGGGACTCCGGCAGGCGTTATCAGGAATGTGCAGCCATAACAAATGCCAACATTTGAGGTGTGGCGGCTGGCCCATTTGCCAGCTCACGTCGCACCAATTGGGATCTGTGCCATCCTCCAAATTTTGTTGTAATATAAAATCCTGGTCTGCGTTTATTGTGGACCTGCGTCCTCTCTTGTCCCCGTTTTCTTTTTCAGCCATGCCACCGGGCCCAGATGGGGGGGGGGGGGAGAGGAGAGTGCGGTAGATTCAGTGCAAGTCTTCTATCATTATAAACTAATTGACGCGCAAGTCACCGTCCCTGTTCGATGGAAATCGTCTAAATCGACTGTCGAACTGTCATGTGATCGTTAATACACTCGTCCTAACAAAGCGAATGTCCTACGCAAAGTTTGAAATATCTGAATGAATTTTCATTCCAGCAAGGGTTGTAGCGTATGCACTATGACTGACAGCACTTCCTCTGCTGAAGCGGAATGTTTATGTGCAGACCCACACATGTAGTAGGGACTGGCACACAGGCAGAGGAGTCAGCAAACGGCATTTGCGAGCTTGTTAGCCTGAAAAAACATAAACAGTTACAAGAAATTGAGGTCAAAATAGAGACCCGACGATTTCGCCTCTCTCGTCCTCTCTGTGGCAAGCCCTACAGGGCTAGTTCAGTTTAAAGCAAGGTCGGAATAGGGTAAAACGGGAAATAATTTTAACCCCACGTGTTTTATTGATTCAACTGACGAAATAATCGCAAATTCCTAAATCTGAGCCTGTTTTGGTAAGTGAACCTAGGTTTATCAATGAAGTAAATACAGAATGCAAAATAAGCGGCTATGAAAGGCAAGCGGATCATGAGGGATAACAATTGATATTTCCTGGATTTTGACCTCGTAAACACAGACATTAGAATCAGTGTAGTACCGAGAATAGTACATACAGTGTCATGAAAAGTTCAGGCATTGACATACTTAAATTCATAAGGGAAAGGACGGTTAAGCATCATGAAAAAGAAAGCATCGTACAGGGTTTTTGAAATTTCCCTTGCGTTCATTCTCGGGGGAATGAGGAAAACAACTGATAGAGTTGGAATAATCTTCTGGTGGTAGGTTGCTGACCACGTTTCTACAATCGCTAAGTGTCGCATACAAGTGTTCTGATGCCGCTATTTCCAGGCATCACATTCATAACAGAAGAAGAGGTGGATTAGAAACTCACACTTTCTGATGTATGTACGAAGAAACAACCTAACGTCGAGCTGGAAACAGTTCTATATATTCATTTTGATCAAGATGTGAAAAACTCAGGAACCTCGGTGGAACTCGAAATCACGACAGCAAGCGGAGGGTTTGGGTACTGCCAACGCTCTACCCACCTGAGCTACGAAGCTCTACCGGAGTCGTGAGTTTAATCACATTTGGGTCAAGTTACCCGTCCAGTCTACTGAAACATATAGAATTCGCCAAATCTGATACAGTAAGCTGACTGCCGTTGCAGGATGCTCGACTCCTCTTTCTCATTCTTGGCAAAGGCGCACTTGCAATACTTCTTATCTATTGTACGCTCAGCTAATGCAATGTTAAACAGCCGTTAGTGAAGCCTGTCCGTAGTCCTCCGTTCAAATTATGTTCTGAGAAGATCAGATCCGCTTGGATAAGCCCTACTAGTTCGATTAGTTATGGCAGGTTGGATAGTGAGAAACAGAGTTGCGTAAATTAAACGTTCGACGTCAAGACTGGTAGATAATTTTGGGTCTTCAAGTCCACTAAGGGGTGGTTAGCGTTTTCCAAATCCCACAAAAAGTAATCATCGATATACCTTCTATTCTCTCTTGCCTATCGGAACACGCTACAAAAGCTCATTGCCCTAGATGTTACCCTTGATACCTCTCGAGGGTCTTTTTATGCCACTGACACTATCGACACAATGGAGGCGATAAGAGCGACTATTTAATACTTTAAATATTCCATTTATTGACGTTTATCAGGGATGGAGGCCAAGACGTGAGCAGCATACAATTTGGGAAGACAATACAAACAACCGATTGTCAGACCCGTCATCTTATTTGCGTGAGCTTTCAGCCCGCCTAGGAATCCAATGAGGCATTTACAATTAAGGGGTCTGTCAGTCTTTGTGGTCGAAGTGCCAGTATCATTGGCTGAGAACGGGGTGGTGCCATCTGGCGACAAAGGGTGGTAGGGGGGGAGTGGAGACCGGTTTATGGGTCAGCCATTGGGCGTACAAGCCCCAACCACCCACCTGTGAAGTCGACTTCCTGACCCGTCTCAAGAATGGGAGCAGCGAATTAGGACAGCGCGTCACCCACCTGTACAGCCAGTATCGCATTCGGGAGCACGAGCCTTAGAACTCAGACAAATACAACCTCGATTCTTGCGGCAGACTTCTCTCATGGGGTATAACCTCTTCACCGTAATTCCCCTTCCATGACTGTAAACCAACCATCATTTTGCATCAGCTTGGTGATTACAACTTTCTAGACCGTTAGAATGTAGTTCCGACGAACTGATTTAGTGCCGCCCATCGTCCATCCATCCTAAACGCAACCCGGACCGCACTCCCAACCTTTACCCCAGCCATAAGCGTAAACGTGAGCACTTCTCTAATCCTAACTGAAAACCATGCAATCTAATTCTAAGCCTATTTCAGGAGGATAGGCGATTCTAAGTCGGTCTTACCAAAATGACTTAAGCCAAAGTTGGTTCATAGAGAACACCAAATTTCGACTTTTGTATTATATAACAAGATTGCGCATTCGTCTTAACCTCCTACCAGGCTATGCTTCCCAGGTGTGAGCAAACATTTACGCACTAAGCTGGTGACTTATATGGCCCTTTAAACAGGATATGAGAACAGGAACCGCCTACAATAGGGGTGACTTTGAGCCAACTTCCAGTGAAATTGGGGTTAAGTGTAAGGTTAGTGTTAGGGTTAGGTCAAGGATTAGGTTTAAGGCTAGATTTAAAGTTAACGATAATGTAAGTCAGGACAAAGTCTAGGGTTAAAGCAGGGGCTAGTTTTAACTGCAGAGTTAAGGTTTACGGTAGGACTAGAGTCAAGATTAGGACAACGTTCTAGTTTTATATTAGGGTTATGGTTGGGGTTAGGAAACGGGAATATTAAGCACTCTCCGGAATTATGCTCAGGGACGGGACGTACCTATTTTGGAGGTCAGATAAGTCAATCCCACCATACTTCTAATTATTTTCATCAGCAGTAATGATGTGCTTTGCAGACAATCTGATGCATAGGAAGTCAATTACACCGCTATGCACCAACGTTGTTAACTGACTGAGATCGTTGCATGCCATCAACTGTGCCAACGGCAGAACTTGCATATGCTCATCCGCCTTAAAATCAAGTTCGGTAAACACTAACAAAGTAGGCGGTCGTAAATGTGCTCCGACCGGTGCGAACGGTGAGTTTCCGGTAAACAAAGCAACCCATTTCAGCCCATCACTGTCGGCGCTCCAGTACGCCTCTCAGCAGCGATCAATAAGTGACACACGTACTGACCTTAAGTATCTGACCGTGTGACCTGTTAGCACCTATAAAACCGGAGCAACCTTTTGGCCTCCCATTTTGGACTTCCAAGTCCGTCGTTTTTCGCCATAAACACGCTGGGGGAGGTAGCGTAAACGAGGCCTGACCCCCAAATGGCTAAGAAAGGATGACATTATATCTGCGTAGAAATTAGGTGAAGTGGTACGAAGGCCTTTGAGACGTGCCAGGATGAGTCGCAGGACCAAATGGTCTAGTTTGAAAGAAAGAGAGGAAAGCTTGAATATTTTGTTAGTTCTGTTGAGGATTTGACACATTTCCGATGTTTAAATTCTCTCCAAAGAGTCAGAAAGTTGCACTGACATTCTGGTAGGCCAGCTTGTCAGTTTGCGTTGTCAAAGGATGTTGATATCATCGGTCCTGATCAGTGAGCCATTTTTATCAGGCTTGACCTGTTTTTACGCTTGACTATGAAAAATGCAGTGGGTGGCGAGTTTGTCGCAATAAATTTGTTCTTTCATCAACTATAAGAAATTTGAAATTCAAAGGCTGTCTGGAAGAAGATACATTATCTGATCAAGAGGAATAAAACCTTACTAATTACATAATCCCGAAGTTAAAACACAATGACTACTTAAGTTTACTATAGTCTGCAACTTACACTGTTTAAAACTGAATCTCCCAGGCAAAATAGTTGGCTCCGAGGATCGAAAATTCATCACAGATGGTAGAGGGGGCTCACCGATCGCGCTACGGAAGTCACTCGTCCCGTTGTGCCTTTGGGCTTTCTCTCGAGCCCTGCCAGTAGCCGCATAGCGGCGCGTAATATAGGCAGGTTATCATTGCTGCAGTGGCCATTTCTGGCTTATTAGCAAAGAATAGGCGCGATAGCGTGAGATGGATTGAAAGTACCTCGACGTTTTTTGGTTAAAAGGTCTAGACGGATAAACGTCCTAAATGTATAAAATCGACATATGGGGTCTGGGCTTAAAGAGGACTCTTATTTGTTTCATGAGCTTGAGGGGTAAGACACAAGGTTGCTTAAAATTGGCTCAGAATAGTGTTGTGTGAAGGACAGAAACCACTTCGAAATTTTTGATCGTGGGTTTTTGAAAAATTGTCCAGATGTGCTTAACGATAGTTGAATAAGTGGAGTTGCAACCTCGTAATATTCAATGGCACTTCATTTGTCATATTCAGCAGGGAAGGCCGCCACAGCATAAGACGATAACCTTTCTAACGTACACCTGTTTAAGAAATTTGTAAACCGTCAGTGTGTTATTTGTCGGGTCGGATTTGAGACTTTAAACTCTTATGGGCCTTGCATGCGACCTATTAGATAGCCTTGTCAAAAGTAACCCCAGTGTTCATAAATGCCACAAAGCATGTCCGCACTGTAAACGAGAAATTAATTCAAAACACTTCCACACGGCCTCAAAAGAAAATCAAATATTAAATCAGCCGAAGTACCTAAAGGGGATATTTCTAAAAAAATGGAACCAATAAGCTACTTGATTTTAAGAGAGCTCAAAATTTGGGAAAAACGAACGAAAAGACAGGTTTCCAGAGGTAGAATCTAAGAAAATTCAGCGCAAGCCTTAGCGGTCCACTAACACTTTCACCATCTGTTTAGTGACATTGCAAGACTTCGTCTTTGGGGGTAGGAGTAACGTCAGCTCCGTACAGTTAGCAATTTTTACATGTCACATACGAGCATACGGTCCAGTTTTACAGTTTAGAGGGAAGGAGCAATTAAATACTCCCCTAATTTAGTACAAACAGTAATCAAGCAAGTTTCAGGATATAAAAGCGAAAACCCTGAGATGCTCGATGGCGGTTGATGGACAGACGGGTTGCAAGTTAAAGTCTTTAAATTTAGAAGAGGGCAAAATATTCGCAAGCAAACGAGTGTGCTGTTCGTAGAACCCCTCTTGGAACCACGATAAGTATTTCCGGGGATTGGGCGAGATTTGACATGCCCGACAGATTCCGGCGTTAAGTTTATGCACTTGTTCAAAAATACGGTGTATGCTGATCGGCAAAGGTCAGATTTGAGTGCTCATAAAGTGCTCTCCGCACAACGTGTGCCTAAACAGGCGAACGATAGTAAATATCGTAAAGGGCTACAGGACACATCCCTAATATAACCTGACTTCGGTTCGTAAATAATGAATTGGCTATTCGAAAGGTGAGACCTGAGTATCAGTAAATGCGTCGGAGGTCAGGTTGACAACGAAAAGCGGGGGTTACAACCAGTTCAATGAAATGGACTTTGATTTTGTCTACAAGAGGTGAGATAATAGCCCTCCAACTTCAACCGAAAAGTCAAAGCAGCGGATATTTCTCAGACGGAATGCTCTAACTGGACAATAGCCAGTATACAAAGCGTGATGGTTAACACGTTTTTTGTTCTTTTGATAACTTCAACACCTGGTCATGCCCTTCCCGCCCTCAGCCAGAAATGACCCAGAAGCAAATGGCACGGATGGTGGCAACTCGGAATATCTACGAAGTAAATTGAAAAGTGAAGGTCGCGAATGCTGCTGCCCACAGACACGCTTACTGCTGCCACTGTCAATTAAAAACACGGAGTCAGTCAAAGTGAAAGCATCTAAATGTTACAAAGAAGCATGGAAAGTCTTCGAAACGAAAGTATTTGCAGTCTGCAGGTTTTTGAGAAATGTTCAAAAGGGTTTGCTGGGTTCAAGACATAAGTACTTGAAAGGAGCTTTCGGAGTGGGGTGGGGAGGCGGGGGGGGGGGGGGTGGGAGGGAGAAAGAGGTAATAGGAGTCTAGCTTTTAGTGTCATCCTCAAATGACCAATGATTGCATCGCATGAGAAAGGGGTAAGTTCCGGGAGGGAAGGTCTTCAGTCGACTCCCTTTCGCAAATGACTTCTGGTGTTATATTTGAAGGTCGACCATGGCTATGCTGCACTAGGAGGAGCTCACCTGGTTCACTTCGACGTTTTGTTTGACCCCAAATCGGAAGGCGCATCGGCCCTTAGTGGTGATTACGACGACCTTCTGATCACTTCCCTCAGTCAGCGGTTGCACAACCACGTTGGTGAGAGCAGCCTTGCCCTTTGGACGAGGGCGCGCCAGGTGTTCGGAGACAATGCTCGCAATGTCGTTCTCAATGTACTTGAGGTGCCGGTTATCGTGACGACTGTCGAGCACCGAGGCCCGGATGCGACCGTGCATTTTGGTTTCGAATGCAAATTTGGTTGTCATTTTCTCCTCCAGCACTTTAACCTGAAGTTTTATACATAAATCTCAGAATGTAACGAATTTAAAAGTTCATTTTTGAGCAAAGCGGAACATATAACGTGAACTACAGCAAAGATAAGGATTGAAACTTACCTTTTGGTCTACTCGCTCAACTGTAAGTTGACCCAGAAGTAGGAGTGCAGTTGCCATTGAAACCAGCACCCTCAGCAGATATGCCCTGGTGCGATAATCCCACACCTTGTTTAATATCGACTGATAATGGGTTGATCTAACCTGCACGGGTTTCCCTGAAAGCCTCCTCTTTTTCCCTACTTGACCTCGGAATGCATACCAGTTCAGTTTTCTCATAAGGAATCATATATAACCGGCAATCAAGAAACCAAAAGAGCCAAGTTTTCAGTGTCCATTGTTTAAAAACGCAACACAGCAAGGCTCCCTATCCGGATTGATCGGTCTCGCGTGTGAAATATGTCAAATGTCTCCCGGCTCGATTCCAATGCGAATTTAAATTCTTTGCTTTGGCTGGCGATAAAAAGAGTCCTATCTAACACTATATTCATCGGATTCACTTACCACTTACAGTTCTAATGTATAGATGTTCGGAGTTCGTGCCAGTTATACGCCACCAGATTATCTTTGTAAATTTTTCGAAGCGCGAAGCTGCAGTTCTGGACAGGGTTAGCCCTGTTTTTGTCAAAGCCTGTTTCGTGGGAATGTCATGACCTATCCCTGATTGCAGGGCGAGAGTATTTACCTCCGATGGCCTTCGAGTCCGCTAGAATTATGATCCAGGTTTCCAAGAAAGAAAGAAGCACCCGTCTGCATCCGAAAGTCCAGGCGAATCAGTGAATGCAGCCCATATGTGAATGAGTACTTCTGACGACAGCTGGAAGGACGTTATCTCCTAGTTGAACTGTTGGAGCTGAACAACTCGCTGTGATGTGATTTAACTTAAAATCGTGGGTATCTGCTTGGCGTTGCTTAATATTAATTGATGACAAGGTATAGACAAAAATAGTCCTTTTAACTTTCTTTGCCTTTATCAGTATTCATATTGACCCAACTGTGAAAAACTCGGTGCCTCGGTGGGATTCGAGCCCACGCAATAAGGAGAAGGCTTTAGTACAGCCAACGCTCTAACCACTTGAGCTACGAGGTCCCGCCGGACGACTCGAGTTTAATCTCATTTGGGTCAAGTTTACCCGCCCGACATTCTCCTTGTTGCGTGGGTTCGAATCCCACCGAGGCGCCGAGTTTTTCACAGTTGGGTCAATATGAATTATTCAAAATATGCCAAAATATCTATGAATTTATCAATATTATTTGTCGATCGTTGTGAGTGGTGACCGAAATTCTGAAATATGTTTTCGACTAAAAGGAATAATAAGATGGGTTTTTAATATTGATTATCATCCAACATAATCCCAGAATGCCGCCTTTTGAATGCGCATCTTCCCGACTGCATGAAAGTACTGCGCTGAGCAAGCGTCAACCCAAGTAACATGGATCCGTTTATTTATTTTCGATGCCACCATGAATTCAAATATAGTTTGCAGAAAACATGCATCCAAATATTACTTTTCATACGCTTTCGGTAGAAAATTACGTCATCAAAATTTGTATTTCAAGGAAAATTCTCAGTTCCCGGATTATTTTGAACTCGACCTGCCGTCGCACTTGCTCTTAGGGTTTCCAAATTGCAAACTGTTTAATTTCGGTATAAGAAAAATCATACATTCCTTTGTGCTATTAGGCGGATATCATATAGGGTTCATAAAATGTTCTAATGGATATATGATGATCAACTGAAGCGTGACACCACACCATAAGTAGTTCACGCAATTCATCTTGTTAAACTACTCCGAAAGGACGAAAAAGACTTTAGAGGGACACCAGCATTGTCGCTTGCATCTGTCTTTCCATATTAAATCTAAAATCGGCTGTGCTATTTTCATAGCTGAGAACGAAGCCTAATGGGCGCTCGGTCTAGGCGAGTGAGGAACCGCTTTTCATGCTAACTGTCCATTTGAGAATTTTCTGAAGCTTAGCATCAAAAGTGCTCCCCCTCGCTACGTTACCTGCGTCAGAGCGTAAACCATTAACAGCATAAAAAAAAAATGAGTCAAGATATTTTTGCGTAGTTTTTTCTCCCAACTTGGCCATATTGAAGGATTTTCTGCCCTCAACGTCCGCTGTTGCACACACCTGACCCACATTGTGAATGTCAGTCAGGGTCACGACAACGGAGGAGGCGTAATTTAGTTGCGGATTAGTAGTCGCGCCCGAGGAGTGCTGCACTTGCAGACTCCGGGCTTCATGCAAGGACGACGAACAAGCAGATCTACCCGAGAGAATATACGTTTTCTGTTCCTTCCGCCTTTCTCCTACATCTATTAGGGAGGTTCAATTTAGGATCTACAGTCTCAGCCAGTGTGTTTTCACGCGCGTCACGGTCAAACCGAATGCGTACTAAGATTCTCCCTGCCTCGGTTCCGGTCATTCTAGTATTGCTCACATTTATATATGCGTTTTACTCTCTGTTCGTACAAGGTGAAATGCACAGCTAACGATAAATATTTATTTTATCCGTGTAATCAAGAAGCCAGTATGTAGTATTGGGCAAGATCTGCGTTCGCAGGAACACTAGTGTGACACAAAAGCCGAATGCTTATAATGATTCTACAATTGGAATTTCCACGCGCGTACGACCACACTCCTTTCTGAGGAGGCTTAAATAAACAGGAGCAAGGCGGGGTAACACGGATCCTAGTAGGGCCCTCCAGGTACACTAACAGATATGCTTTCTTATATGCCTGAATTAACTCTTAGTTTCTTTGCAAGTATTTGGAGCCAGTCTTCATCAGTAGTCCAATTAGGATTCCAATAACCGTTCGATCGGTCACGGCAATATGGACTCTTTAGTATTATAGGTGGCCTCGTGATAAATCCCAGGTGAATTCATACCTCCGTGTTCTAATTCTGGCCTTGACCCTTCCAGTCATAACCCAAGTCATAGCCGTAACCTATCACCAGCCTTTCTGCCCCCAACCCTAGCGTTAGTACCAGACCTAACTCCTATACTAGCCATAACCCAAACTATAACCCCCCTGGAATTTAGGGAAAGGCCGCCTGTAATACGCGTGGGTCCATATTCTTGTGCCCAATCAACCGTTCACTAAGCATCGGACAACCGGAATCCTGTTATTCTCCGTGGTTAAAAAAATAGCGGTCCAAACCTTAGTTAAAAGCTCCGTTATCTCGAATAAGACCGCTTTATTGGGCTGCCTATGTCGATGGGCGAAAGTTTTACGGACGTTCGTTGGTGTCCACGAAAAGTCAACCACCAGACAATGCTCAGACCAGGTAAAATATTGATGTTGATAAAGTTTCGATGATTTAGGTATTATTGACTACAAGCAACTTGCTTTGAGGTAAGACGCTGATAACATCGCTGCACAGGACATCACGCTCAGGCCAAAGCATTTAAGGGATGAACGTACCTCAGCCTCGGCAGTGCTGTGCGGCGGAACAACTATGCGGGTATCCACGCCCCAGACTAGTTCTTCCTCCACCGTCTGCCGAGTAGTCTCGTTCAAAGAGATCTCATTGGAGAAGCCGGCGCTTGCCTCCAAAATCTGATTTGGTACCTGGAGGAGTGAGACAATAGGAACAAATGAAGGCCTATATAAACTTTATTTGTCCTCTTTTTGATATTGCGCCTATTTGCTATCATAAACGTTGGTCCCATAAAGACCGTCTGAATTAAGAAAGGCGTACTTATTTTCAGAAGGTCTAAGGGACGGAGCGCTATAGAAATACTCTAGACCGGATGCTTTCTGACCTCAAGCAATAAACTAAACCCAACAAGAGTCGTAAATTGCGATTAAGCTCACAACAGAGTCGTGGCACCCAAAACACGTCGCAAGGAGCAGAACCAAGTGTAATTGGCTGCAGGGACTGTAGCCTCCCCAAACAATCGATCAATCGGATGAAAGGACTGGCAATGAAAACAGGTCACGGCTGTAATCTGAATTGACAGCTAACGAGAAAGATCCATTTTATCTGTGTAGCCGAGAAGTCAGTATGCGGTAGTAGGCAGGATCTACGTTCTCTGGAAACCTAGTGTGATGCAAAAGCCGAATGCTTATGAGGATTCCATAAATACAGCTAAACTCATACTAAAAATGGCATGTAGAAGAGACACCCTCACGGCTTGCTACCTGCCTGGCGTCCACGAACTGCGTTCAGTATAATGTCAAGCATTCAACACCGCACACGAAAAAATGGAGGAAAATTTGTGGAGATAACACACAAACACGCACTGGAGAAGCCGACGCTCGTCTCCAAAATCTGATTTGGTACCCGGCGGAGTGAGACTTCAGAAATTCCGAGCTTCCAAAGAACAACATGAGCAATTCTGCCGAGCTAATCTCCCTTCACAATTAGTTGAATCTCTAAACGAAACGATTGCCTGTGTTTCCAACATCGAAAGACAGAAAAAGGGGTGTCTTAGGCAAAAATGGATGGCCATCTCTCAACGAATTCCTGCAAACCAAACTTGCTTGACGAAGGTAGTAAACCTGTCAGCAAGGAGACTTAAAACAGCCGATGAGACTGTACTTTCTAAGGGAATGAAATATAATCTATCCGATTCGAAATACCTAGACTTCCTTGCAAACTTGGACGATGAAAGCTTCACAATCCGGAATAGCACTGTACATGCCTTAAAGAGCCGAAAACCCTTTTCAATGCTCTCACACAAGGAACAATAGCTATAAAAGCATTAAACAGTGACACAAGCATTGCCATACTTCCTGCGGACAAAGGACGCTCAACTGCGATTTTGAACAAAGCAGAATACAACGGAAAGATGTTGTCATCAATCTATAAACCTCTTACCACGAACCCTACTAAAGCGCAGAGTACGGCCATTGAAAAAGTTCTTAAACGTCTTACAGAAAAGGAGCAAATATCAGGAAATATTATCAAATCCTTACGACAAACTGAACCAGCCACTGTTAAGATCTATGGACTACCTAAGGTTCACAAACCTGAAGTACCACTGCGACCGATAGTATCGTTAATCGGTGGACCTAATTACAAGATTTCTAAATGTCTACTCCGATGATGAAACGTCAACCAATAATTCAATAGTTTCTGGACAAATTACAAGGACTGAGAGTCGCAGCAGATGAAATAATGGTATCTTTTGATGTCGCCTCTTTATTTACTTCCATACCACTGGATTTAACAAGACAATGTACAGAGGAACGTCTCCAGTCCTACGACATGGATATCCCTGTATCTGCTTTGCTAGAACTCTTTTATCTTTGTCTGGTAACGAACTTTTTATTTTCACAGGAATACTGCCAACAGCTGAAGGGAGCCGCCATGGGATCCCCCGTCTCTGGATTTCTCGCAGAAGTCTATACAGAAATTAGAGGTTACCGCCTTGCCATTAGTCAACCCCAAATCATGGGTACGCTAGGCTGATGACACGTTTGTCATCAACTGATCAGCGGGAAATAATCCACAGCATTAGTAAATGAACATTTGCAGGAATCACATTCACACTCGGGAAAGAGGCTAACAACAAACACCCGTTTCTTGATGTCCTGGTACGGGGAAAGCTTGACGGACATTTCACACCTCAGTTTACCGCTAGGAAACCTACGCGGAAATTATTTTACATTACGAGAGCAATCGCTCGATCTCTTACAAACGGAGTGCCGTGAACGGCCTCCGTAACCGAGAAAGAACTCACTGCTCTGACAACGAAATCTATCAAACAGGACTGAATTATTTATTCAAACTGGACACTGATGCATGAGACGACAGGAGTTAAAAGAAAGAGACAGGTAACTAGATTGTTCCGATCAGGCGCGCAGACCAAAAAACTGACGAACACTCCCGTGCATTAAGAATGTGTCCGAACTAGTTGAAAGACACCTGAGGAAGCACCAAATACATGTGGCGCACAAGCTTGACGGACCTTTCACACTTCAGTTTACCACTAGGAAACCTACGCGGAAATTTTTTTACAGTACGAGAGAAATCGCCCGATCTCTTACAAACGGAATGCCGTGAACAGCCTCCTTAACCGAGAAAGAGCTCACTGCTCTGACAACGAAACCTATCAAACAGGACTGAATTATTTGTTCAAACTGGACACAGGACGACAGGAGTTAAAATAAAGAGACAGGTAACTAGATTGTTCCGATCAGGCGCCCAAACCAAAAAACTGGCGAACACTCCTGTGTATTAAGAATGTATCCGAACTGGTCGAAAGACACCTGAGGAAGCACCAAGTACATGTGGCGCACAAGCCGACGACTACACTCCGTAAGCAGCTTGTACACCCTAAAGAGAGAGTTGGCTATTTGAATAAGAAGTAGGTCGTCTGTAAGCTACCACGCGACACCCCTAATGCGAGTTACTATGGCCAAACTGGGAAATCGGCCCCTACACGGGTACACGAACATCAATTAGCTGTAAAAAGGCGAGACCACTTGTCCCAATTTGCCATGCGTAAGCCGGAACCTGGACCCAAATTCGCCTAAGACAAGACTCACTTTAGAAACGCCGCGAATTTTTAGAGGCCATCCATTCTGATAGCGCATGCATCAATCAACACGTAGAATTGGATGCTGTGTACAAAAACCTCAAGGAAAAGTGGAAAATGTGTTGGCCAATTAGAACATTACGCCAGCAGGAGTGACAGGGCAAAATCGATTATTAGACATGTTTAAATGTTAACTGTTTTGCACATTTACTTCACGTCTGAGGATGACTGGGGGAACCAAAGTCGAAAATTTAAATCAGATTTCTGTATATGTCCCAAAGAGCTTATTTCTTCCAAAGTATGCTTATTGGGATGAATGTTTTCGAATTCAAATATATATATGCATGCATGGTAGAAGGGCGCTCACCGATCGGTTTGCGGAAAATATTCTTCCCGTTGTGCCTTACGCGTTCTCTCTCGAGCCAAACAAGCAGCCGCACAGCGGCGCATAATACAGACAGAGTAACACTACCAACAAAGACAAAGGAGACTGGAATGGCCATTTCTGGCTTATTAGCCGTCGTCCGCCACTCATACCCCACTCTGAAACGTGGGACGCCTGGGGCTCGGTCCCGCGACCTGTTCGTTAAATTCCGACGGGCCTAACCACTGAGCCACGGGCTCGTTGTCCTGTCGGTTGCGATCGGGAATATACAATGTTGGAGGGGCGCTCACCGATCGTATTACGGAACTCACTCGTTCTGTTGTGCATCAGGGCTCACTCCCGAACCAAATCACGGTAATGAGCCCGTGGCTCAGTGATAAGAGGCACTGGACTTCTAGCCATCAGGTCGTGGTATCAAGCGCCAGGTACTCCACACATCGGGGTTGGATACGACTGGCTGACGAAAGCTAATACGCCAGAAACAGCCATTCCAGTCTCCCTTGTCCATGTCGGTAATGCTATTTTGTCTATAAATATGTACATATAGGTGAGCGCCACTTCATCATAATTAATACGTTTGATTACAGCCGACACGAAAATGAACTCGTGTCTCAACAGTGTGGAGTTTGAATGCGTGACCAAAGACACCGCGTTCGAATCCCAGGTGATTTACACCCGGGACTGGGTATAGTCGGCTGATGACGGCTGATAAGCGCGAAATGGCCATTCTAGTCCGCATTCTCTTTTTAGGTATTCCATTAGGAGCTAGTGGTGGAAACATTCAACCCAGTGGAAACAGCTGGCAAAAAAGGAATATAGCGCAGAGAACTGGAAGGCACAGCGAAAAGAAAGAATCCAACAGAAACGGCGAAGGGAAAGACGCAAAAACACCAATGGACTACAAATTCCGTTTTAGAGCCCTCATCAAAACCGATTTATTCTCATACTAGCACTGACAGTTTGCTCCTTAACAAATGCACTACTGTTGGCTACAAAATATTTTATTCATGAGACCTGTGCAAAAACTTGAATGTATTGTATTTCTAGGCCTACAACCATCAGCATTATAAACCTTCTTGGCCGGCGTCGTATCCAGAACCATGTTAGCACTATGCATTTTAGAAGATCCTTTTTCAAAGGCAGTTCCCTTCCCACAGGACTCTACAGCTTATAAGAAGCTCATCCCAACGTTGGATTCGTGAAAAACTGACGCTACCCAAAATGGGACAGAGGAACACCTTCCAACTTATGCATAAGTAACAGTAAGCTCACTCCCAGAGCATCCGGTACTGATAGGCTATAAACAGCGTGGACAGAAGAATGATAGATTGTACTTGCACAGAAGCCAGTCGGTCGATATGGCTTCTAAAAAGCATGGTCTACACGAGGTTGGGAATCTATTTTGGAAGCCTCATCTTTGTTTCTAGCCTGTCTCTTTTAGAGTTTAATCAAAATTTTAAGTCTCATCCAACTGCTCACCAAGGCAAAACAGAAACGATGTTTGAGAGGTTGTGGCGCCGTTTCATTGGCCAGTAATGCGGGCGAGTTAATTGCATTAGCTCGTATCTGCTGTCATTCAAAACTGATCCACTGGCGGCTAAGACCACTTCTATTAAAAGACAAAAACGGCGTGGCAGTTGGAAGAACTAGGCAGGAATCACGGACGACTCCTTTGATGTGTTCACTGCGCACCACACGATAGGCATGCTTGGGACATGTACCGAGTTGAGTTCGCGTAAACTTATTATTTTTTTCAATATTGGTTTTTTATCTAATTGAAGTTGTAAGTGTAAATCATACTCTCTCTTCTGCCAACATAACCACCGAAGCTCAATAGAAATCCTTGTAGATGCCCCCATTACGAATAAGGCTCGGGAAATTTAACCTCCATATTGTTCTGTAATCATAATCTAAAGCCTACCTCATGAAATATGAGATAAAAATCCTCCAAAGCAAATGATATTTACTGGAATCTTTTCAATCATTCTAACACTAGAAGGATGAGTAAGCCGCAAATTTGTAAAAGAAGCTGATTTATGGTCTTCGCGTGCGCACTTCAGCCACGTGTTGACACGAACTCAACTCGGTACATGTCCCAGGCAGTCCTACCGTGTGGTGTGCAGTGAACACATCAAAGGAGTCGTCCGTGATTCCTACCTGGTTCCGAATACTGTGTGAGTCGCTTGCACAGCACGAACAGCGCACAAAACTAACCTTTCGGATTTCTTTCTAGTCCACAGATTGTGATTGATAATTGGAGAAATAAAATTTTTAGAGTAATTTGGCAGCAGTTACTACATTTGCCTACTCGCTCCACAAAATGATGGGGAAAACACGAATACTGTTTCGAGGTAACGCCAGGAGAAGGTTGTCAACGGCGCAACACGCTAAGTTGCTACCAGACCTCCTGAGTAAATGTGCCAAAATGGATCTGACGGGAGATGGATATAAAGCTAGGGGCCACATAATTCCGTTGAGTTGTGCAGCGACATCTTCGTTTCATTGTTCATTCCCCAATAGGAAGCAACTGCTCACAGGTTTATTCGATTTTGATCGTTCCATTGATTTTGGTTTCCTAAGATAACGCAATTTTTGGCCAATACCTCGGAAGAATCAGTGGACGTGAAGGTGTCTTACGGGTTATATGGATTTCCTCCTCTAATCTTCTCAGTGGAACAGGCTTAGTGGTGCGACTGAAAAGTAGAACATTAGATTCTGCCTTCTCTGATATGATGCAAATGTTAATCTACTGCCCCATGCAACATGTCTTCCAATTAATTTGTTTTTTTGATAGAACTAACTTGTCACTATATGTCCGACCGTACAAGAATGGGCACTCGTCGTTAGACTTACGCCCTTTCGTGGATTTGGTCTTTATGTGCATCTTGTTCGTAATCGTAACTACTGATAAACATGTGATGAAATGACATCTCGAGCAGATTAATGCGTTTGGGATGCTCGTCCATTGCTTTTGAACGCTTTCGACAATAAGTTGCACACATTCCCCGGGGTTTAAGTGCACGAGCTTCGTATTTGATGTCCCCAGAGGTGGCGTTTTCGCCCGGGTCCAGTTTTCCGCTTCTATTCACCAACAGTTCGGGAGGGCAAGTGCAGTCTCGGCTATCTAGGTTAGTTAGAGGAGGAGGAAGCAGAGCATAGATGAAATATTTCCCCCAACTGCCACGCCGCTTTTGTCTTTTAGTAGAAGTGTTCTTAACCGCCAATGGATCAGTTTTGACTGACAGCGGATACGAGCTACTGCAGTTAACTCGCCCGTATTCCTGGCCAATGAAACGGTGTCACAACCTCTCAAACATGGTTTCTGTTTTGCCTTGGTGATCATTTGGATGGACGTTACAATTCTGATTAAAAATTAAGAGATGCATGCTAAAACAAAGATGAGGCCTCCAAACTAGATTTCCAACCTCGTGTAGACCATGTTTTTTAAAAGATATATCAACCGACTGGCTTCTGTGCAAGTACAATCTATCATTCTTCTGTCCACGCTGTTTATAGCCCAACAGTACTGGAAGCTCTGGGAGTGGGCTTACTGTTGCTTGTGCACAAGTTGGAAGGTGTTCCTCTGTCCCATTGTGGTTAGCGTCAGTTTTCAACGAATCCAACGTTGGGATGAGCTTTTTATAAGCTGCGGAATCCTGTGGGAAGGGAACTGCCTTTTAAAAATGATTTTCTAAAATGCATAGTGCTAAAATGGTTCTGGATACGACGCCGGCCAAGAAGATTTATAATGCTCATGGTTGTAGGCCTAGAAATGCAAGACGTTCAAGTTTTTGCACAGGCCTCATGAATAAAATATTTTACAACCAACAGTCGTGCATTTGTTAAGGAGCAAATTGTCACTGATAGTATGATAAGGAATCGGTTGTGATGAGGACTCTTAAACAGATTATGCATGCCCTCGGACTGTTTTCATTTTTGTCTTCTCTTCCGCTTCCTTTTTATAGGAATATTTTTAGAGTAGCTTTTTTGAATTCATAATCTGTGTAATTTTTTGTTCTGTCATCATGATCACTTTTCCGCTTGTCCTCCTTTCGATTTACAATCTTCGCAGGTCTTTTGTGCGGCGTTTCCCATCGTCGTTTTCTAGAGCTTTTCAATGTCTGAAAGTGTGCGTAAATGTACACTCTACTGTCCGACTTCTTTGACTGCTTTTAGCATTCTCCTGTTACTCTTGCTCAAGGAATTTTGCCAAGATGCTTTGCTGGGGAATTTATTTGAATTATGTACTCTTTTTTCGACTGGGATGACAATTGCAAAACGGGTATGTTGCGAGATCCAAAGGGCACAGCATATTGACAGTGTCATAAATTTCCGATGGCTGTCCCCTGTTCTTTATAGTTTAGTGGTTGAGCGCACCGGATATGGGAATGAGGTCACAGCCGTTTTGCAGTACTTCAACACTCATTCTCGTACGCCTTAAATCATTCTGTAAATAGGAGTACTACTGAAGCTGCTTTTCAATGCTCCTTTATCCTGGTAAGGCTCAGAACCTCAACAGCACGCCATCTGCAGGTCTATCTTGCGGTAAATTCGCATTTACACTTCAGTTATCCATTATTAAAACCAAGAATCAATTTTGACCGGCCAAGTATGTGAAAATTAGCAGCGAATACTAATGGGAATATGCAAGTGGACGGACGCTGTAGTGACTATACATGAATGGTATGATCCCTAGGTTTTGCGCTTTTCTGTAATCTTGCATTTTTGCCACCTGGCTCATGAAATGTTAACGGAAATTCGGAAATGCGTTTTCGATTACGCAAGTGAACCTGTAATAACGTTTATCATAGAACATAATCTCAAAATATTTTACCCACCACAGGATTCTGGCTTTTATATGTACTTCACTACGGTTATCTGCGTAAACTACACGCCACAAAAATGACTACTTAAATCGCATGAAATTTTCGACTGATTTTCAATGCACTTACGAACTCAAATATGTTTCATGTGGCAGGTAAAGACAAATATTCTCGCTTACATCCACCCGGTGGAAAATCACGTCATATTTAAATTTTATGCTTAAAAAACATCTAGTTGGGCGTTAAAACGTCTTTTAATTCCCCAGTAATTTTAAATCCCACCTGCCGTTACATTTACACTCAGGATTCCGAAAGTACAAGCTGCATACTTTCCATGTAAGGAAACTCATATAAACCACCACGTCATTAAAACGATACCACTAACGGTTCATTTACTCTCGCAATGAATATGGAATATGTTATATATTTCATGAGAGATGTTGCTAAACGAACAGATACAAGGATATTTTAATGAACATTTTACGGTCTTGAGAATCATTATGACAAACTTTCTTAAAACTGAAAGTTACCCTTCCTTTGAATGTATAGTTTAAACAAGACATTGTTTTCTACCAGATGTGTACAAGGCCGGATAATTTAATGCGTGCTTTCTATGAATTATGATTGAATTGTTTAGTGCATCGAAAGCAATGAAAAAATCATACGACCTTGGTCATTTTATACCTGACATAGTTTTGTAGGCGATGGGAAAGAAACTTATTTAAAGACCGGCAGATTGACGTGACTGAAATATCCTGGGACTATGTTGCACGATAATTAAGATTACAACAAAACTTGAGTGATATTTTCTAGTCAAAACGTATTTTGACTTTTTGTTGACATTTCATGCGATAGGTCACTTACTGTATCTGGGCAGAACCAGATAAAATACATTAAATGCACTTCCCCTTTCCGGCTCTCAAACCTGGATCACGATAGTTTAAAAAAAGAATACTCATTTGTGTGTAGAAAAAGAAACGAAAATTTGTACGTTTTCGCCCATTTGTCCCAGAGGTATGGTAAAAAATGCAAAGCGGACATAATATTTTAAGACCTAAGTGCGCTCAGGCCCCGTTAGACGTGAGCTCAAGTTCCTTATAACAAACGATGGGGCAGAAAACTGCATGCGGTTGCGAAAGAAACAACGACAAAGAGAATTCCTAATCTGCTTTCGCCTGTGTTATATTTTTTCTCTAATTTAAAGTCTAATCCTCGCTCAAACTATGATTAAGTTTTTCGTATGCTTTAGCTTAAGGGAGTTTTGTTGCAATATCCATATCCAGGGAGCCCTTCTGTTATAGAACAGCTTTGGTTAAGCTCTCAGTACCGGCTGGTTTAACGGAAAACGGAATAGATAAATGAAAGTGATGGGTTTCTAAAACAGAGATAAGATGGCTAAAAACCAGTACCGGAGGAAAAGGTAGTGTAAGTTCTCGATGAGAATAGTAGTCAAAATTCCTTACTTGCAACTTAATCCCGATCTCTTTTCTCGAGATAAATCCCTGAGAAATTTCGATCTCAGCTACTGATCTAGTAGCTCGTTCTGTTCGAAAGTTATATTCCTGTTCATTGTCAGTGTTGTTCCTAAAGTTTGTGCTGAACAGCGAGTGACTTTTGGGCAGCGTCACAGTGCTGCAGTCAGAGAACTGAGGCTGCTCGCTCCAACAGTGCAGGTCGTCCCAGTTAACTTTGATGTCCAAGTCGTCAATTTTGACTTTTTTCTGTTCTTTTGTCCGGGTGGCAATGAACGCGTTAAGTGCCCAGGACTTAACTACTGCTGCAAGGTCAAACAGATTCAATTCGGGCTTTTCGGGGACGGTCGCCATGAGGTGCAAAAGTTGAGTGAGACCGACTACTATTCAGTCCTAGCTGGCACCGTAACGCCATCGGACGGGGTAGCCGACCAATCGCGCGCTCGTCACAAAGCCACGTCATGATTGGTTATAGTGCCTCTCTGATGCCCGAATAAAAACGAAGTTGGCAGTCAAGGAGCAGTCGGTAAAAATGTTAATTTTAAGCATTACGACCCTACTTAACGCTATGTTCATGTAATACTTGTATTTATTATCCCCACGGAACATGAGGATTTTGTCGTTTGCGGATTTATAACTATGCGAAGTTCAGGGAAGTACTGCTATAAATCGAGGCGGTTGTCGAAAAAAAAACGGAATTAAGGAGATGCATGTTTTTTATGCGAAAAATTGCTGAAATCGAGAAACACTATCAGTCAACCCAACAAATGCGGTATGTGTTTTGAGTGTAATAAATGTCTGATTATATCCTAATTAAACCCTTTTATTCATATCAGTACGACTCACTTACTTCGGTCGAAAGGATTGTAAATATAAGGTGGTGTGCATGAGTTTACTACTATCATTTTGGCTGCTAATCAGCCTCTAAAGTGCTAACTTAGTCGCACACTTTTGAGTTCTATGCACGATGACTGCCTAGATTACAGCTTTAAATAAGCTGAAAGCCAACAGGTAATTGCTACAGACTGGAGCCTAAAAAATTTCGTCAGTCGAAATACTTAAGATGAAATGCTCTTTCACTGCCTTCACGGGACGGGTAAGCTTGCTCATCCAGTAGAACTACGTAGAGCTGTAGGCATTATAAGCAGCTAGGAGAGTATTGAATATATTTCTTGGAAAATTTACAGTTTTTGATTCCATTCGTTCAGACGAATGTGGAAGAGAGAAAAGCGCTTACCATAAACGAGTACAGAGAAGACTTTCGAAAGTGACCTTCGTTGGATGTGTTCACCGAAATTTTTGATATAGATACAAACACAAAAGCGGTACTAAACAAGCCTTGCCTATTTTGCGATTAATCAAAATATGCATCAGCTTACACTACTTGGTTTTTATGGTAGAGTGTCCATTAAGAATATAACAGTCCGTCTGTCGTTTCCGACGATGCCTACAGTGTGAACCACAGGAAGGTGGGCACCAGGATGGTGATGCAGGCTTGTGTTACATCAACCGCGCCCGCTCTTCTCGCACACTCCTAGGCTCGGTTTCAAGACAGAGACGGGACCAGGTACAGGGGGTTGGCGCGGTGTGAATCCAACATTACTCCCTGGCTCTCGAACGAAAGACCAGGATTTCATACAAGAAGAATATGGGGGACGGCTCAGATCCGAAATGAATGGGAGCGCCATTATGGCCACACTAAGACGGGGACATTGCAGCCTGGCTCCGTCTTGACCTGTCCATTCCGTCAGTTGGCAGTCTTCCAAGTCATGGCTTTCAGAGCACGGTGATAGATTCAAGCTCGCCAGATTGTTTGTAGTGCTCAATATGCGCTGGGGGTACCTCCCTCTTCCCTCCCCCTTGCACCAGTCGGTGGTCAGAGCAGGCTAATCACCTGATGCTTAGGTGGGACTCCTTGGCTTCCAGGGCTCGACATTACGTCTACGCGTGCCGCACACACGACCTGGCCTCCAGAAAGCCCACCAGGATTTCACATAGAGAAGGTGGACTGTTCGGGTCTCACATGCGGGAGAGTACCATAGAGGCCACATGGAGAAGGAGCCAAAGAACACGATTCTCACTTGCGTGAGAGGTGCCGACTTCGTGCTTGTTGCAAGTAGTAAGGGACGTGTTCTTGTATGGTGTATGTGCTGATGAGAAGATATGTGACGACGGGGTTTTGACCGGCGGTGTTCTACCGTAGGTTTTCATGGGTGCGCATGTGGCCGAGTAGGCCTATGCCGTGACTGAGTGCGCATGGGCGGTGTGAGCAATTGAAGTGGGCGCAGTGGACGCATGTCGGTGCTCCAGGCACTGGTTTGCCAGTCGCTATGTGATGAACTCGCAGGTGACCAGTCAGGCTGACGTGCGAGGTGAATATGCGATCGAAATGAGGACAGGCTGGGATCGAGTCTACACCACTTGTTTTGGGGGTGGATTCGGTGAATGTGGTGGTCGACGTCGTGAGTGTTCTCGCCGGTGGTGGCGTTGAAGAGGTAGTAGTCGTTGTCAAAGTCGCCGTCGCGGGTGCTGTGGCAGAGATTATAGAAGTGATGGGGACGTCGGCTGAGGCGTCGGGGTATCAGGAATGTGGTCACCGGTGGCGATGTTGATGGATGTTGTCGTGGACGCCGTAAGAGTTGGTGCGGGTGGTGACGATAGGGGCGTTTGTGGAAGCAGCCTGCGGAGTTGTCGGGTTGTTGCTGCCTTAGGCCCGGAGGAGTCCAACGAGGCCGATCCGTGCGCGGAATGTTTGTTGATATCGTGGGCATGTTGGAAGGGGTTGAGTGTTGAGGTTGGGGGTCGAAGGCTTTGGAGACTAGCGAGCTCATCTTTCGGCTTTGGCGGCGGTGATCCGGTTAGATCCAGTCGGTCAGATGTGGTTAAGTAACCCCACTTGAAGTAAACAAACCCCAGCCATCTGTTATACGAGACCGGTGGTAATAGGAGTTTTTACAGGTGAGAGCGGAGAACGCACGGGCGAAGAGGTCAAGTAGTTGTATGCAAAAGAAACGCTATTGGGAATGCGCGGCTGTAATTTGAGTGGTTGAGAAGTAGTTGTCCTAATCCCTAACCCCTAACCCCAACCCCAACAGTATTGTGTCCAACAGGTGGGTCTACATAACCACGTCTTACCCTCCAGTCTTCACTGTTCCTTTCCGGACCGGTTGGTTTTAGGCGAAATCCTCCAAGGTCGCCGAATTGATTTGTAGATGTTTAAGAATATACATACGTAAGTAATGAGTCTCACTGATTTGTCTATGTCACAAATAAGAAAAGGGAAGGAGATTTTACACAACTACCAGGCACTAATGGTCCGTTATGTTCCGTGGCACATATGGCCCAGTTTCTTATCAAAGTATTCAACCAAACAAGGAAAACTGCACAAGAACGGGAGCGCGATAAGCAGGGATTAGCCCTAACAGTATGCTTGTTTTGGTATCGTAAATGCGCATACTATAGTGCAGTTTTTCGTAAATTAAACAGTATCACATACAGTTAAGTAGCAGGTAATTTTAAGAACAAGGGAAAAAGCAACGGCATTGGTATCACACATATGAAATGCATGGAGAGTATTTTCATAAATAACAGTTGCATGCTTTATCTAGAATTCTTAACCATATAAGTGAAGTATCGCATAGTCATCGATGTCTTTGACGTTTGTTCTAAAATGGTCTTAATTTTACAAACTTAATCGTAGGACAGCATCTCTGGCTTATAGTAAACAATCTATATTTAAAACATGCTTGGTAGCTAAATGAAATCTGTTGGTTTTGGGTCTTAATTTACGGCAAAATGATTTTCGAAAATGGTACTGAAACCACAAAAACCGCGCATATGGATCTACGAAATTGTAAGGAAATTTGGCTGCTTAAAAGGAAGCTAGCTGGAATCACCGTTTTTCGTTGAAAGTATAAAATATTTATTAAATGGTTGAATGTTAAAGGTTCGCACTGTAAATGGCCCAGAGGTCGGTGAACCAACTTTAATCAGTATATGGCAACCTAAAGATCGAGTATTGGACCTTTTACACTACCTTTACAGTATACGGCTTAATTTATCTGGAGACCTCAATTCGGTAGAAAAGTGTCTCTGTCTTACGTTGTGCCCTTTGATGATAATTCACATCGATACCTGTTAAAATGATCATCTATATACTAGCGCCAGGTGTGTCTGTGCGCATGTTTGTGTTTCCGGTCCCAGCTGGTTGTCAGGGTTATGATTGGCTGAATGAAGGCACAATAAGCCCGAAACAGTGCCGTATCAATCTACCCCCCCCCTCCCCAGACTCTGCGTCTCCCCCCTCTGGTATCATATCTTTGCCGATTTCGGCCTGGTGGGTGGTTGCCTGTTCGTGACCCCTATCGCCCATACGAAGCATGTTTGCGTCGGGAAGCCAATGGATCGGTGTGCGCCCATTCCTGAGTGAATATACTAGCGTGCTGTCATGTGGGGAAATGCTTGGGCTTGTCTCCTGCTAATTAACTTAACGATCTTATTTGGGAAATTATTTGTCTTAGAACACTCATAAAATATTACGACTCTTGTTTTATGAACTTCATCGTACATTAAATTTCCCTAATTTTCAATAAAATGGGGACAAAGGACTCTTATGTACGAATTGTTTTTGACTAGACCACCATATTAAAGTATAGCATATGTTTCGATAGGTAGCCCACTATCAAATTGTAGCAATTTAGCGTATTAGTGTCTTTTTCGCGCCTTCATTTAATCTCAGTAGTCGTTAGATGATAACGCAAAAGTTTCCGTGGCTAGTGCTGGAATGTTTACACTATCCTTTTGTTTTAGTCCTAGAATGTCCTCTGTACCTAGCATTTAAGTAGAGTTGCGTGCTTTCTGGCATGCTATTGCACGTACCACGTCAACCAAGGTATACAGTGAGTGACCGATCTCATGAAATGTTGGCTGAAATTCTGAAATGCGTTTTCGATTAGGAAAAATTACTTGGTCGCGGTTGTAATACTGAATATCTTGAGGCTTAATCCTATGGCATTTCGGACGTGGTGGGATGTCGGCTTTTAAATGCACTTCTTTTCAATCTCCTGCAGAAAGCGTACTTGGTAAAAGTGACTACTTAAGTAGCATGCACTTTTCCCATTGATTTTAGATGGTCTTTCAAATTCATATATATTTTATAGAAACCATAAACAAAAATATGCTTTCTTTTAGTCAATCAATAGAGAACACGTCTTCTTTATATGTTATAGTTAAGGATGGAGTATAATTAGGTTTTAAAAAAGTTTCTAATTATGAGACTTTTTAAGACCGCGAAATGTCCATCCACATAGCATCGTACCTGGACGTTTACTATTGCTCCTCATGAAATGTACAACATGGTCCGCATCCATTGCAAAATTTTATGGAGTCTGTATGATATCTCTTTAATGGCATAGAAAAATATGTGATTTTCTTTACGCGGAAAGCATGCACCTTGTAGAGTGAAATCACTAAGCGCTAATGCAACGAATGATCAGGCTCCAAATTGTTCGGCAATTATAAAACTTTTTTTAAAACCTAATTATACTCCCTCCTTAAGTATAACATAAAAAGAAGACGTGTCATCTATTGATTGACTAGAAGAAAGCATATTTTTGTTTATGGTTTCTATAAAATATGTATGAATTTGCAAGACCATCTATAATCAATGGGAAAAATGCATGCTACTTAAGTAGTCATTTTTTACCGAGTACGCTTTCTACAGGAGATTGAAAAGAAGTGCATTTAAAAGTCGACATCCTGCCGAGTCCGAAATATTATCAGAGTATGCCTTAAGGTAATCAGTATTACAACCGCGACCAAGTAATCCTTCCTAATCGAAAACGCATTTCAGAATTTCAGCCAACATTTCATGAGATCGGTCACTCACTGTATTTTATAGCATAAGAGGATCCTGCTCTTACGGCCCCGCAGTCCGTGATTTTATGGTGTTATAAAGGGTTTATAGCACTATGCCATGCCGGAAATATCTTGAAAATTAAAAGGTGAAATCGGCGAACAGCAGTGTAAAATCTTTAAATATGCTTTCAAGTAGACATCTGTAAAAAGGTTACAATGCCGGTCCACTTAGGACAAAATCCAAAGTACATTGTTACCGTCGGTGAATTTTTTGATGAAAGGCAAGGCCAGGCTACGGGAAAACCGCTGTATATTTTCTACCATTAGCTGTAGATTGTTGTATAAATGTAATCATCTGAGGTTGTTTCATGTGTAATGGTTATTTATTGGTTCTTTACGCTGACTATACGTTTCTTTGGTGGCATATACATCCTTAGACAATAGACAGTTGGACTTCTTAAGGCATGTGATCTAGTCTTTAATTTTAGGCACGTTTACTAGATACTCCTCTTGCTCAGTTGGTCAAGTAGTGCTCATGAGAGACCGTAGTCACGGACGGAGTGATTGTTTAATTGAACTCACCCCGACACTCTCGGCGATCTTGTATTGACAATCCTAAAGGTGCATTGCGCCAACGTAAAATTCTGTTTCCTGATCAAGATGACTTATTTTTTTCGACATCAAAGAAGTCTTTTAGGTTGAATTTGTTCCTCATGGCACCAAACTGAACCAACATCACTATCTAAGAGTGCTAAAGCGATTGCGTGAGGCAGTGGCAAAAAATACTTGAATTGCGGCAGTCGGGGGATTGACTGCTTCGTCATGACAACGCGCCTGCCCACACAACGTTCAAAATTAACCAGTTTTTGTCGAGAAACGGCAGGACAACTATTTTCCCCCCCTTACTCGCCCTACCTAACACCCTGCAACTTCTTATTGCCTAGGATGGGGAAAAACCTAAAAACAAAGCGTTCTTAGAACGAAGAAGACATAAAGAAAACCACTAACGGCACTTGACGGCATTTGTTCAGAAGACTATAAAACATGTTGCGAACAGCGGAAAACCCGTCAGGACACGTAAATATAATCAAATGTACAAAATTTTGAGGTTTATTAATGTTTTGACATCGTATCTTGGATGAAAAATTAAATAAATCTCATTTTTGGTACTCCCTCGGATATTTTTTCCTCCTCATTGCTTTTTACAATCTTTGAAGGGGATGAGTGAGTGGGATTTTGGAATACTTTTTTTCTAAGAGTAGTTGTTTAGTTAAAGCGCAATAGGATGAACCTTTTATTTCGGTAGCACATGTGGTAAGTATTCCGCTACAAAAAAGATGATGAAACAATGATCCGGAGAATTTAGTGATGATGGGAGCAGTTGCGAAAATACAGGAGGAGTGGTAAACTCCCTTCTGTCCTTTAACGACGAGGATTTGAAATCGGTTGTTGAAGCAAATACCCATCCCGCCTCCTCTTCCTTCTCCAGAAATGGCGGGAAGCAGGTTACTAGTAGGACTGTATCTTAACCTGGAATGTACCCATGCTAACTTTGTTGTAAAAGCTTGCTGCTCCGTTAGTCGATTGTACTACAAATGAAGGACAAACGATCTATTGTTCCGGGCCATGACCCTTTCCGTCATCGTTTGGTCCACGCCCACAGGACAAGATTATGTGCTAGTAGGACACTCAAGATGCTCTATATTATCAAGTGTGCGCCATCACCAACATCTTCGGTCGGTATACATTATAGGTGCCAGATACTCGGCAACTGCTTCTAAAATTCTCACGCAAATAACTGAGAATAAAAGTAGAACGTGTTCAGTTCACCTGTAGGGTTGGTTGGCAATAGCCATTGGCAGACATTTCATTTGGGAAACAGTTATTCTTGAGGAGGTACCGACCGAAAGGTGTTGCGCCTAACACACTTGGGAGTTATTGTTGTATATCGCTACTTTGTCTGTGGCTCATGCAT